GTGACGACCTGGTAAGACATGCAGGAAGTCGATGGATGCAGGTGGCTCAGGACCGTGCTTTGTGGCATTACTTGGGGGAGACCTATGTTCAGCAGTGGACTTGTGAAGGGCTGTAATGATGATGATGATGACTCGTAAGGCATTCCATCTCAGTCTTCAGGAGTGACAACGCATCTGCACCCATCTTTATTAGATGTTAGTAGAAAGTGTCTATGGACCGCATTAGCCACTTACCTTTGTCACTAAGTTTAAAAAAAAGTGTGTCAAGTGTTTAAAATGTATAATACGAGGGTGGATTGAAAAGTACTCGGCCTAACCAAGAAAATAAACACATACTAAATCAGTTATATTTTTATTTTTCTACATAATCACCATCAAGTTCAATATACTTTTGCCACCTCCCCTTCCAAGCATTTAGACCGTTGAAAAAAAATGATTCTTCCTTAAAGTCAAAATATGCGTCTACAGCTGCTTTGACCTCGTCGTTTGTCGAAAATCTTTGACCTCCCAAGGGCTTTTTTAGGTTAGGGAACAGAAAGAAGTCTGATGCTGCCAGATCAGGTGAATACGGCGGATGCGGTAACAGTTTAAAGCCACAGTTGTGAATTTCAGCCAATTGACTGTACTGACATGTGAACACGGGCGTTATCTTGATGAAACAGGACTTTTCTTCTGAGCATTCCTCGACGTTTTTCTTTTATTTCCTCTCGTAAACGACGTAGTAAGGTGCAGTAGTAATCAGAGTTTATAGTCTGACCCCTTTCAAGATAATCAATCATAATCACACCTTTCGAGTCCCAGAATACTGAAGCCATCACCTTATTTGCCGACAAAATCGACTTAGCCTTTTTTAGGGGTGGTGAACCACGTCTTCTCCACTGTTTTGATTGTTGTTTTGTTTCCGGTGTAGAGTAATGAACCCATGTTTCGTCCATAGTAACAAAACGATTCAAAAAATCATCTGCATCGGCTTCAAATAACTCCAAACAGTCGCGTGAAATAGTCAATCGCGTCCTTTTTTGTTCAACTGAAAGCAGTCGCGGAACCCACCTAGCAGACACCTTGTGGAAACCCAACTCGTTGACAATGATGTTTTGAGTTCGTTCATACGAGATGCCTATAATCTCGGCTATCTCTCTAATTTTTAATCTGCGGTCTCCCATTATTAAATCAAGTACTTTTTTAATATTTTCATCAGTAGTTGACGTCGAAGGCCTTCCAGAGCGGGGTTCATCTTTCACACTCTCTCTACCACGCTTAAATTCTGCTATCCATTTTTTGACGGATGAATATGACAGAGCACAATCGCCTAATGTACTGACCATGTCATCATGGATGGCTTTTGATGATAGCCCCTTCTTATGGAGGTACTTAACGACGGCACGCTGCTCGATTTGCTCCATTCGCGGAAATTATGTCCGATTACTTTGTTAATAAATTTATAAAATCACAACTAATTATCGCACACGTTTCGAACTTCACACAATGAACTAGTCTGAACTGAACTAAATAATGTGAGTAGATTTGATTTTTAGAATTGAATGGATCTGTGTTAGGCCGAGTACTTTTCAATCCACCTCGTATGATAACTTTCCACATACTTAATTTAAATATACAAAATCTGTAAAGTCAAAGCGAAACTGTGTTGCTTGGAAATGTATTTATATACTTTGTATTAAAATAACTCATTCTGCTTTACTTATTGCATGAGCATGAATGTGACAAGTCATTTAGTTCACTTCAAGGAACAATATATTGCCTTATTCATTAGATATCCATACGAGCACTTAATTCCGTTACGAAATTTTGTCCCTGCTTTTTATCAATTATTTTTCCATTATTGTTTAAAAGCCGAGGTAAAGTAAGGTCCCTTTCGATATATAATAGGTAAGGTTAGAGTACGTAATACAGGTATATAAATATCTTTTGTATGTAAAAATTACGTGTCACATTGTTTGTGGGTGTGTATATATATATATATATTATACAACATGTTGAACCTATATTATGGTTGTAGCACGAATGGGTTAATTCAACCGGAAAGAACCACGCTTCCACATACCAGCGTATGTAGCAAACTTATGTACACTGCTGTGTTTCGCAATGTGAATGTAGAGAAGCGGAGAGCCACCTGGATTTTGATTTTTAATCGAGGACACATGTAGATGTCTATGGGCCACAGCAACCACTTACCATCAGGTGGACCGTGTGCTCGTTTGTCACCCTTATTCTATATACTTAAAAGATAAAGCGTCAACCTGCGCAAGGTGGACTAAGTGTAAACGGCAAGCATTACTTGGAATATTTTGGTGATTGGAAAAGGCAAATCTGACATACTCGCCTTAGTGATGCCATTACCAGTCTAAAGTTTCGGTTTGATGCTTCTGGCTAGAATTTGCACTATTTATACTCCATATTACGACATAATGCAATAAATATCTACAATAGTAGGACGCACACTCACAATTAAATGAAAAAGCAATGCGTCGATAAAGCTTATTAAACATGGTTACAACTGATATTTTGTTTTACCTAACTTACTTACACGACGTAACTAATTTTAGCTCATGGTTTGCTCTTAAAACAACTCAAGCTCTTGATACTGAATAAATAAGAGTATGTTAGATATCAGTTTTGTAATATTCGAGAACATGACATTTAAATAAGATATTTAAATACCCGCAAACCAATTTTCTGTGTTGTGTTATGGCGCCTCTACACGTTGGCCAACACAGTGGCGAATGTAGTGGCCAATAGCATTGGCGAACGTGTAGACGGGGTGTTTGGGCTTCATTGGTATGTATTGGAACGATGGCCCGCAAGTTGGCGCGAGATCCGTGTGGTGTCGGTTTTTTACAAAAGATCAAAGGATTGTTGGCAGAGTTTGGTCGCCGCGTCCACACGTTGGCCGCGCGTTTAGTTTGCTACAAGCTCCCAGAGTGATTACACGCATCTGATTTAAATTTTATATTCACGCTTTGTAGGGTGGATGACCCAATTACCAGCCTTTTAGTGCCAATTTCCACTTTAAACATTCCTACTACTTTAATTAGCGCGATTTGATTATTTTTAAACATTTGTTTTAATCGATAAGCTATTTATAAAAAAAAATAATGTACATTTATTTACATTCAGATTATTACGAGGACAATTTTAAAATGAAAAAAATGAAGCACATCGTTTATATGTGGTAGAACCATGCAGTTATATTAGAAGTATAGTTCGCTCGACGAATGCGATTTTCTTTGTTGAATTGTGGGAAAAGGACAAAACGTTTCAAAATAGATATGACAGTTTCAATGACAATAGAAGCTTTTAATGCCTCTATTTCTATCTTCGATCAATAATACCAACTAGATAGCGGGTCACATACAAAATCATAGCTAAATACTGTCCGCATAAATATAAACTATGAAAGACATAAATTTAAATAACATTTAGTGTGAAATCAACCTTAAATTATAACAAATAAAGTTCTTTTTCCCGTTATTGCCTTGCGAGCTACACTCTCACGTGCAAGAGCTCACGTCTGATGTGCGCTCTTATTTACTGAGATGGATTTCTTGCGCCGACCCGACATCTAGTTGGTATTGTTGATCGAAGATTTCTATTAACTACGAGGGTGGATTGAAAAGTACTCGGCCTAACCAAGAAAATAAACACATACTAAATCAGTTATATTTTTATTTTTCTACATAATCACCATCAAGTTCAATACACTTTTGCCACCTCCCCTTCCAAGCATTTAGACCGTTGAAAAAAAATGATTCTTCCTTAGAGTCAAAATATGCGTCTACAGCTGCTTTGACCTCGTCGTTTGTCAAAAATCTTTGACCTCCCAAGTGCTTTTTTAGGTTAGGGAACAGAAAGAAGTCTGATGGTGCCAGATCAGGTGAATACGGCGGATACTGTAACAGTTCAAAGCCACAGTTGTGAATTTCAGCCATTGACATTACTGACGTGTGAACACGGGCGTTATCTTGATGAAACAGGACTTTTCTTCTGAGCATTCCTCGACGATTTTCTTTTATTTCCTCTCGTAAACGACGTATTAAGGTGCAGTAGTAATCAGAGTTTATAGTCTGACCCCTTTTAAGATAATCAATCACAATCCCACCTTTCGAGTCCCAGAATACCACCACCAGGCCACGAATACCAGGCCATCACCTTATTTGCCGACAAAATCGACTTAGCCTTTTTAGGGGGTGGTGAACCAGGTCTTCTCCACTGTTTTGATTGTTGTTTTGTTTCCGGTGTACAGTAATGAACCCATGTTCGTCCATAGTCACAAAACGATTCAAAAAATCATCTGCATCGGCTTCAAGTAACTCCAAACAGTCGCGTGAAATAGTCAATCGCGTCCTTTTTTGTTCAACTGAAAGCAGTCGCGGAACCCACCTCGCAGACACCTTGTGGAAATCCAACTCGTTGACAATGATGTTTTGAGTTCGTTCATAAGAGATGCCTATAATCTCGGCTATCTCCCTAATTTTTAATCTGCGGTCTCTCATTATTAAATCAAGTACTTTTTTAATATTTTCGTCAGTAGTTGACGTCGAAGGCCTTCCAGAGCGGGGTTCATCTTTCACACTCTCTCTACCACGCTTAAATTCTGCTACCCATTTTTTGACGGATGAATATGACAGAGCACAATCGCCTAATGTACTGACCATGTCATCATGGATGGCTTTTGATGATAGCCCCTTCTTATGGAGATACTTAATGACGGCACGCTGCTCGATTTGCTCCATTCGCGGAAATTATGTCCGATTACTTTGTTAATAAATTTATAAAATCACAACTAATTATCGCACACGTTTCGAACTTCACACAATGAACTAGTCTGAACTGAACTAAATAATGTGGGTAGATTTGATTTTTAGAATTGAATGGATCTGTGTTAGGCCGAGTACTTTTCAATCCACCTAGGTATCGTCAAATGTGCATGTGCGGCCTATTCCAATAGTTTATTCAAGATTTTGTGTGATGAGTATAAATGAATGAGGTAGGTATCATGCAGGACGATTTATCGTCAACATTACAGCCCACATATCCAACGCTGGGCTATAATTTAACAAGGTCAAACATTGCAAACATTGCCTTTGTTTTTCTATAATTATAATATTATTAATTATTATACATAGTATAAATCTTAGAGAATAAAGTAAAGTAAAGTAAGGTTACAGCCTATATACGTCCCACTGCTGGGCACAGGCCTCCCCTCATTTTTGAGAAGGTTTTAGGGCAAGCCCCCTTGGCGAACTTCACGTCTTTGAAATATTTTTTTTCTTATTCCTCAGACATGCAGCTTTCCTCACGATGTTTTTCTTCACCGCCGAGCACGTGGTAAATCAGCACTTAAAATTGCAATTAACAATTTCGTGCCGGCTGGGATCGAACCCGGGTTACTGGCGTTCTATTATATTTACAGCGAGCGTTAACCATCTGAGCTACCACGGCTCTCTCTAAATCTTAGAGAATAATAATATTTAAATAATTAGTGCCAGTAGCTTAGGGTGTTACCACACCAATCGATCGATAGTCGATCGATTGGTGTGGTAGCTTTAGCAGATCGACGGATACTGGTCGATAAAACGTTGTTCAATCACGATCGACGTGGTTGTGGGCTTATCATCAGTATCTTTCAAAATGTATTCAGAAGAGAACAATAGGGAGCGGACGGTGGACCGGGGCGGGTTCTCAAATAATCGTAGAGCTCGATTGACGTCGACTAATCTATTCTACCATCGATCTATTGTTGTAGTAAGCGCCTTAGCGCTCACTCAGTCACGCAAACGGGTAGAACGATGTACTTGTACGTGCGTCAGTGTTATGCTGTTCTATAGCGATCGTGTACTTTTTTATAGGACTAGGGTGACAAACGAGCACACAGTCTACGTGATGGTAAGTGGTTGCTGTGGTCCATAGACATCTACATCTATCCTCGATTACGAATCAAAATGCAAATGCGTTATTACCCCTAAGATGGAATGCCTCGTTTCCAGTACTAAAGGGTCTCCAGTTCTCTACACTCACAATACGAAACGCAGCAGCGTTAAGCTGCTATTTAACGCTTGTATTATGAAAGAGCGTGGTCCTTCCCCGGTCGGGCCGACCCATTCATGCTACAACTATACTACTAATATAGCTATAGCATGGCTCTACCACGTAAAAAAATTGGCTTCCGCTTCCTAAAATGTCTTGTGATATTGTATAAGTCATAAATGTAATACTATTTATACTCGAACAGGATCAATCAGACGGATCGACAACGCCGCGCGCTGATGACAAATCAGGTGGTCACTCACCTGCTCCGAGTGAAGGTAATTTTATTATAAGATTTTATCATTCTCCTTCTGCCCTTTACCTCGTAAACAGTCTAAGGGTGGCAAAATAGTAGTTAATGTTTTATTGTAACTATTTAGACGACAGTTATCATCATCATCACCAATTCAGCCCTTCACAAGTCATAGGCCTCCCTCAAGAAATGCCTCTAAGCCCGGTACTGAGCCACCTGCATTCTTCGAGTCCATATCTTACCAGATTGTCACTCCACCCAGTGGGGAGCCGCCTAACAATTCGCTTACCGGTACGAGGTTGCCACTCGAAAACCTTTCTTCCCCATCAGTGGTTGGTTCTTCGAGTTGTATGGTGAGGCCATTGTTACTTCAGCTTACTGATCCCTTGGGCATTGGGTTAATTTAAACGACATTGATATTGTGATATTTCTTAGTGCACTCAAAATTGTAAAAAACTGTAGGTACTTTAGCAGCGACTTCTGAATGTGAAATTATTTCAATACTTTTAGTTCTTTAAGGTCTGCTTTAACTTTTTATTAAAAGTTAATTTTACTAACCCACTAAGTATTTACTTGCTGTTTTATAGCAAGAAAAACGTAAGTATAGTCCTGTTGTTGTTATAACACTGTATAAATTACTGAGATAATTCATTAAAAAAATATTTTTTAAAGAAATCAATATGTAGGTATTTGTATCGAGGTGGGTTGCTGTGGCTAGTAAATGATTGTATGAAGTAGTAATATATTATTTTGTCAACCGACTTCAAAAAAAAGAGGTTTCAGTTAGACTGTTTTTGTTACCTCAGAAAATTTTCTAAGTGAACCGATTTTGATTATTCTATTTCGATTTTTCATTTGAAAGCTGGTGCTTCTCATGTGGTCCCTTATAAATTTGATCGAGATCAGACCCGTAGTATTTGAGTAATCCTTAATAATGCATATTCTCAATAGACATACATTGATAGTGTTCTCATTTTATTTATATTGAAGTCGGTGGTACAAATTTTTTAATTTTACCACTTGTGTCGGCAAACGTAGTCTTTCTCGCTAGTTTTAGTCTCAATATTTGGGCTCGGCGTTGCGTCTTTTCATACAGGCGGGGCATCATCGTCGGTCTTCGACACAGTCCGCATGTAGTTTGTTCAAAGCATCTAAGATCCTTTGGCGCATTTCGTCAGCACTATCACCCACGATTAAACGATTGGCCAGGGCTCGTAAACCGGTTCAAATTCTAAACTATCTTCCACCTTCATTTTTAGTAGGCTGACGGTTAAGTGGGCGTAGAGCGATACTGTCGTACTAACTGCTCATCACAAATGGAATTTGGGTTTGACCTTTCCGAATCTATATATCGCTGTTTGTGGGGTTTCCAACGTTTGGAATTTGTCACATACCTCTTAAACCCCTATATCTAATAACCATAATGTGATATACCATATGGTTTTAATGCAAGTGGCGATATTCTTGCCGGATTTTCTTTGAGGTCTTGTTTTTGGGACACGTGTAAATTTAGACGCTATTCATAACTACATTTTGAATTTGATGACTGCGCTGCAGGGCAGTGTCGCAGTCGCGCTCGCTCCGATCCTGCACGTAACAAGTGCTTGTATGGCCTGCATATAATATCTGCTTGTTGGGATGCTTATCCGTGTGCAATTAATGTATGTAAGACGCCTCCGCAATACAGAAGATTTTTCTAGTGTGGGGCTAACGTTTTTATTATTGAAAATAAGATTTTAATGTCCATATGACTTAGGCCCGGTTTACATTTTGAGAAGTGACAAGTGTGAGTGGCTAGTGCAACTGACAAATGAAAAATGCTTAGTGCGAGTGAACAGCTAGTGACAAGTGGGAATAAAATACGCACTTGTCACTTCTCACTTGCCACTCGCACTTGTCACTTCTCAAAATGTAAACCGAACCTTAGGTCAACCCTGTAATACAATTATTGCAGAAGGAGGCGAACGGTGATGGTCAGCCTCGACGCTCTTGGATCGACTGGCACAACGGGGTTTTGCAGCAGATACTCGGCTGGCTCTTCCGCCAACAGGTACCTATGTTTACATGGCTTAATAATTTATACACCTTATTTTAAATAACATTGACAAGAAAATGAGTTAATAATGATCGATTGTAGATCATACCTGAATCTTGATACTTTCACGAGCTAGTAAACAGCCCATTGCTGAACTTAGGCTCCTATTAAAGACGTAATATATAAGCTATGTGGCATTTTCTTTAGTCCCCATTTACGACACGCAGGATACAAGATGAGAGAGGAATTTTCTTAAGCCAACTACCACACCCACACGTCTTAGACACAAAATTAAATCACGATGAAACGTTTATTGAGTATGTTTTTAAACTCTTTTGAAAGGCATTAGTATATCTTCTGTAAGAATGTGATCCTACTAGTCTAGTTAGCGACTTATTAACATACTTATTACAGTACTAATAGCGTTGGTCTATCACGTTTGTTTGTTCCTTAACATAATTTTTTTTATCGAGGCTGTTCAACAATTATTATTTGCTTCGGTTACTTGTAGATATAGTCTATTGCTGTGAGCATAGAATACTATAATACACAATAGAATGGCTGTCAACCTTATTTTGTAAGAGGATATGCGTCGCCGGGAGCAAACATACAAGCAATTACGTCGTATTATCACTACTACAAACCCGATTCGCTGTGTTGACAGACTGATTTTAATACATATTTATATGTAAATAGCGTGTAATTTAGCATTTTCTAAATAATTTGCATGGGAAAGGGGATATTGTACGTCACATTCGTGTTTATTTAACATGTGATGACGAGTAGGAGGCGCCCACCCCCCCTTATGAAAAAATTTTCCAAAAATTCTCTCCTCTCTTCATATACTTATTCCTCATAGGGGGGATTTTGCCATACCACGCTTGACAAGCGGGTTGGCAATCGCAGTTTTTTATTGTTTCAGAAAGATGCTGTTACCCTTATCCTAAGCTTCCTTCTGTCTTGCGACACGCACGGGACCATATAGTGTGTACTATAGGGTTGTGAATATACTTACACCGCAACTACACGGTGAATAAGTACACTATATTTCAATCAATATTTAATAGATTGTACACCAACAACTTTCAGGCTGTGCTCGCTACAGGGAGCTGTGCTATAGAGCGTCGCAGGCGCACCTTCCAGATGAAATGCCGCCGCGTCCATGTGACTGCGTCAACTGTACCTCGCGACGCAATTCTTGCAATGAGCCGTGATAAAGTACAAACATAGCGGCCAGCACTTCCAGTCTACAAAGGAGTTTTATAAATCTAAAAACAAAATTAAAGAGAATGCTTGTTTAACTTTTATTGTATGTTTGTAAACAACATTTATGTTAATTGGATTGATGCGAGTGATGAAATGTTTGTAGTTAGGTTATACTTTTTATTTGTAAAGATCCTAGCTATCTCAAGTCCACAGTCCACAGCTTAACATAGGCGTAAGGAATGTCATCTTGCCTTAAAGGGTGGTCCTGAGTGACTTGCATCTAACGATTTCTTGCGTTATTACCAGATCGTCATTGCCATACTACATCATTATTGTTTACATACATACATCATTGTTTCTTAAATACTAACACGCCATTTGTAACAGAAAATGAAAAGGCGCCAAACCTACGGGTATTTAGCGGTTCTGACACTTGAACCGAAACTGAAATATACTTAAATGAGCAAGCACTTTTGTTTCAAACGAAGGAATAAAACTTGCTTGATTTTATTGAGTTACGTTAAGAATAATTATACTTTGGGTAAAAAGGACATAATGCATTATCTAGATAGGTACATTTCTCTGTCCTGTTACGATCGAAGAAATAATTTAAAGCTAAACTACAACATCACGAAGATTTCCCTAGCGAGAGAAATCTTCATCTTAGACTAAGATTTTGAAAATTTTCGGTATTTTGTAACCGGTATTTCAAATCCAATATACAACACATTCAAGTATGGTTCCGGTTTAAGCTTTTGAGAACATAAACGAAGAACTGTATGTACCAAAATTTGGAATCGTTTTCCAATCCCCCGTTGTAATATATCTAGCAAGTACATAATAGTAATAGTATACATTGCCTTCAACCGCGTTGTGGGTGTGCAAATATAAACTACTTTTTTATTAAAATTTAACTATTATTTGTATGTCATTCGGCAGCATCTTGTATTTTCCTTTTAATAAAATGGGTATGTACTCTAGCCGCGCACATTATAGGCTATTTTGCAGTTGCAGTTGTTCATGAGCAGCGGTAGTCACAAATCAGGTGAGCCGGTTGCCAAATGGTCGGGATACGTCTGGATTCTCCCGACATTTAAATGATCCCCACTCTCGAAAAAACTCAAAATCTCCAACATATACAAATAACTCTTCGTAGTTAACGTATGGCCTTTGATTTAATAAAAGAGTTAGTAACTAGACTGAACTTTGAAGTAAATTGTTTGAATTTTAAATATTTTCTGAATATTACGAAAGGATCCAAATTGGTAGACCCTATCTAAAGTCTAATGCCAAATACATGTGGCAACATTAAAATTAAGTGTACTTGAATTAGTTTTTGCAGTCTCTTAATTAAAAAATAAACTTTTTATTCCAAAATCCCGACTTCTTCAAAATTTGTCCAGATATTTTTGTCTTCGATATAACAAACCTAGGTGAGCCGCAACCTCGTTTGCCCCCTCTTATAATAAAAACCTACTTTAATCTGCAACGTACCCACCCACCTGTATAAAGTGAAATATTTACATAGGTATGCGTTATTTCTACAAAATTTTATATTTACGGGGGGAGTGCTCCGGGGATTTACACAGCGCTCGGTTCGCAAAGCACTCCTCTCTCTGGGCATTCACAAGTCGAGTGGGCCTGACGGTATCCCCCTAATTGTGCTGAAGACGTGTGCTCCAGAGTTTGCACCGGTCTTAAACGCGTCTTTTCCGGTACCCCTACTCTCTAGGCGTAGTTCCAAAGTCATGGAAGACGGCTTTCGTCTATCCGATCCCTAAAAAAAGCGACCGCTCAGACCCGTCAACTACAGGCCCATCGCCATCACCTCCTTGTTCTCCAAAACAATGGAATCCATTGTAAACTGCCAGCTCATGAAATACTTTGAGAATCACCAGCTGATTAGTGATCGCCAATACGGTTTTCATCGTGGTCGACCAGCTGGTGATCTTCTGGTCTACCTGACTCATAGATGGGCGGCGGCGGTAGTCCTTGGTCGTTAGTTTGGACATTGCGAAGGCCTTTGATCGGGTTTGGCACAAAGCGCTTCTTTCGAAGCTCCCTTCCTATGGGCTTCCCGAGAAATTGTGCGATTGGATCACCAGCTTTCTTGCAGATCGGAGCATCAAGGTCGTTGTAGACGGTGCAAGCTCCGATTGCAAGCCTATTAATGCTGGTGTTCCCCAAGGCTGCGTGCTATCGCCAACGCTGTTTCTTCTGCATATCAATGATATGTTGCAAACCCGTAACATTCATTGCTATGCAGATGACAGCACTGGTCTTTTTTTACACCGGCCGAGCCAATATTTCTCGGGAAAACGTCTCCGAGTGCCGGGACAAACTTGTGTCTGAAGTCAAGTCTTTGCTGAACAGAGTCTCGGATTGAGGGCGACTAAATCTAGTCCAGTTTAACCCCCAGAAGACACAAGTTTGCGCGTTAACCGCTAAAAAGAACTCCTTTGTCGTATCTCCTCAGTTTCAAGGCACTCCCCTTGTTGCCTCAGCCAGTATCGGAATCATGGGCGTTGACATATCGAGTGACGTGCAGTTTCGTGGTCACTTGGAAGAGAAGGCCAAATTGGCCTCTAAAAAGCTTATCGTACTCGGCAGAGCGAGGCAGTATTTCATGCCGGCACACCGCATGCAACTTTACAAGGCACAGGTTCGGCCGCATATGGAATACTGTTCTCATCTCTGGGCTGGGGCTCCCCAGTACCAGCTCCTTCCACTTGACCGAATCCAGCGCAGAGCGGCTCGAATCGTCGACGTCCGAGCGCTTTTAGATCGGCTCGATTCACTGGCGCTGTGAAAAGATGTTGCATCTCTTTGCGTATTTTATCGCATCTGTCACGGGGAGTGCTCTGATGAATTGTACGGATAAATCCCAGCCGCCAAATTTCATGAACGCACTACGCGGCAAACCTCCTGATACCATCCACACCATCTGGATGCTTGGCGCTCCACCACTGTACGTTTCACTAGGAATTTTCCTCCGCGTACGACCTCTCTGTGGAATAATTTACCGCCGGCGATTTTTTCGGACCGATACGACCTGGGGACCTTTTAAGAAAAGAACTTACTCCTTTCTAAAGGGCCGACAACGCACCTGCAATTTCCCTGGTGTTGCGGTTGGTTATGGGCTGCGGTAGTCACTTAACATCAGGTGAACCGTATGTTCGTTTTTTTATAAAAAAATATTTTTTTAATCCAAATAGATGACATACTTATCTTTTAACAAAATTGGTATGAATATTATACACGATGCAGGCAGAATTTTTGCGGCCAGTTAAAATATTAGATTACTATATTATATTAATACGTAATTGTCTTTATTAATGTTATTAATCCTTGACCAAGAAATTTATTATTAGGTAAATGAATATCTTACAGCTTCCGCTCTTTCTATAGTATATTTGTAAATCATACCTATAGTAACCGTACATTAATATCCTCTTTATTATCCTCAAAGGTTTATTGTGTTTATAATAGTGAAAATAAAAATGAACTCTATACGGGATGTTAATATAAAATTTGTTCAGTGACACAAACATTACAGCTACACAACACGCATCACTTTCTTGCTTCAAGGGAGTGTGTTTTATGTAGCAGCAGTGGCAGCTGGCAGCGTATGTGAGATAAGTGTAAGTAGTGTAAATAAGGAAAATGCTACGGACATCTTATGAATTCCTGACAATCATTAACCCTTTAACAGTGAGCCGTGTCTAGGTGAAGACTCAATGATCATCTTATATTATACGCGAACACTACACATTGAAATAATACTAGTTTTTACGGAATTTATCGCGTATATTTAACTTTTTAATTACCCGACGTTTCGAGAGCTTTACAGCACCCATGGTCACGGGAAGGACTGAGATGTTCAACGTCCAGCTGTCATAGTTAACCGCGGTTACCATAGATTAAAATTTAACTTTTGTTCCGATCTACACAGTATGAACTTATGGTATCATGGAGACTTGCAGTTGTATGCTTGGGTTGGGATTTAATCTCTCGAAACGTCGGATAATTAAAAAGTTAAATATACGCGATAAATTCCGTAAAAACTAGTATTATTTCAAGACTCAATGATCGTTATATTATACCCGTCTTGATTCTCAGTCGACATGATTGCGCGCCTCGATCTAGCGCCATTTTCTTATTGACCAGTAACAGTATACAGCTGATCTATCCCACCGTAAGATCTGCCGTAACTGCCACACGTGACAAGCATCACAGTACTGGACCTGTAAAACACCTCTAACGCTTCTCGATGTTACCTACTGACCTCTATTAAAGGTCAGTGCTATTACTCGTTTATCGGCATAGCTTTACATGAGATGATCATAGCAATCTATCCAGGAGTCAGGTAACAAAAAACGCCTGAGTAATATGCCATTGATTTCTTAACGTCTTAATCTCTTAGCTAACAAAGAATTTACTAGAGATTTGTCTTGCTTTTATGCTAGTGCCTTACCGTATTTCAACCTTGTACTTACCTCTTTACTAGCCATGCAATCTTTGCCTTTTTAATACTCTACACAGACCTACATAAAAGCACATTGTATTTTTGATGTTTGTAAACTGATAATTGCTTTGACATTTTAAGGTACTAATATTTATAGTCAATTTAAATTTTAGATAAAATATGTAAGTCAAATTCGATTTGTCTGTCCATTGATATAAAAATTTATAAAAATATTCTTAATTGTTTAGCTTGTAAGCTTTCATAATTAGAAATAATGTGAAAATAAAACTTTACACAATTTATTTAGACCAATCATTGCTACATGAAAATTTTTCATAAAAACTATTACTTAAACAAGAAAACATATTTGGCAACATACAAATAACGTTTAGATGTATCGGACGTTTTTAAAATAATCACTAGATTAATATTAACTGTTTAGCTTTATCCTTGCCCTATAAATTTAATTTCTTATTTTTAAGGCTAACAATAACGTTAAATAATATGTTACGTTATAAGTTCTGACGTGTTCCCTATATTTAGCTTGGTTCGTCTTTAAATTTAATAACTAGGTAATTGTAAAATATAAGGTACTTTAATTCTATTTTATAAAGTTACTACTACCATTTCTAATTTTTAATTATATTTATTACATCTTGATTTTAGTAATTTAATTTGTACTTACCCAAACTTTAAGTCATTAAATTAAAACATAACGAGGTAAACTTATGTCTTATTACACGAGTGACATTGAAAAATGCTTAAAAATGTAAAATTATTTAAAAAATACACAAAAACTTTGACTAAATTAGAAATAATATTGTAATAAATCGTAAGACTAGATAAATATTGTAGTTACGGGTACAGGGGGGAACATACAATTAAATTTAAATAAAACTTAAATTTATTAGTACATTTATTTAAGTAAACAAAAACCACATGTCAAGTGAGAACAAAGAAAAATGGCTGCATATCGCAAGATTGTATAGAAACTCGAGATTTATCAGCTCGGTGGACGAACACGGTTTGTGAAACCAACATGCTATAAAAATATTCGGAAACTTACTATTTATATAAATATGTATATTCCGCGAAAATGCAACCATTATTAACAGGAATTCCCAGTTGAATACGTAATCAAAATATTATTATTTTCAAATGAAACGGAGGTGGAACGAAGACAACTAACCATTCATCAGCATACATTCATACTTCTAAAGTAATATACCAATATTTCCTTTAATTTTGTCATAAATGCAGATCCTTTTGAGTATAGTATACTTAAAACGTACGTTAATTTTAGTTGCACATGATCTCTAGACTACTCGTCTTAAAACTATAATTCAGGTTTGGTTTCATTAGCACAAGTATATGCAAAATAAATTGAGTACATACTTAACTATTTGCTTGAAAATGACGTTCTAGTTGATTTTCGCGAAGTATTTTATTTCAGATTTACAAACACGGGTGCGTTAAAATTGTGTGTGATTTTTTAGAAAGTTCACATTTTTAATGCAAGAAGACAGAATACTTATAGCTGTTTTTTATATTATGTTTGCTTTTTGGGTGGTTTGGTCATGTAGAAAGAATAAATGAGGAAAGAGTGACAAGGCAAATTTATATGGCAGATGTGAACGGCGGAATCGGGAAGGGACGCCCTAGAAGAAAATTTATCGACCAAATTGGCGATATTTTGAAAATGGGCCACGTTAGAAGTACCCAACGAGCATGTATGCGTAGATATATGGATGTAAAGGAGGCGAAAGAGGTATGTCAGGACACGGGTGACACATTTTCAAGTGAACGCGAATCTGGATGCGAAGAAATTTTGGTGTATTACAGGGGCTTTCTATAAAATGCTCAGCTAAATAACCACTTTATACTATCCACGTAGGTATAATGTAATAACACACCGTCATATTAAGATAAAATAAAAATAAATGTGTATGCACCCGCGCTTGTTATTGAGGTGTTGATATAGTTAAGTGTTTTATACCATAAACTTAAACCATTGTCAATAAAATATTCATATTATCGATTGAAGAATATTCCTAAACTGCTAGAGCAAAATTGTTGTACAAAAGTACATCAGATATTATACACACCTTAAATTTTAGAGAAAATAGCATATCGTAAGAATCTTACATTCTAAATTAAATCGAGTAGGTAGCTTTAAAATACTTAACAATGTGTAAACTGGATGAAGATATCAAAAATAAATGTTTCTGTTAGTCTATTAGAAAAGTTCGTTACAACTAGTAATTTTAGTTCCCAAAGCCTTTGGGACGCTCAACAGTCCGAAAATACGACAAATATATGTAAAAGAAAAAATCTGTATTAACTTAAATCCGGGAACGAGATTATAAGAAGCCATTTATGTTCCATTGTTTTATGTCAAGTCAAGTATTAAGTATTTTATTTCGCCAAATACCAGTAACTTCAGACTTCTCATAAGATCGTCGCCCAGTAAAAACAATTTACAAACTCAATGATTGTGTGAGTACAAAAACTATCATACAAATATTTGATATGTCGGTTCTTTAGAAATTATTTTGCAGTCTATGGTTGCCAATACTATTTACCATTCTTAACAAAAAATATAAAAATAGTTGGCTTTTAAGAACCAAGAAAATAAATATTATTAGCACTCACAAGAAAAGCACAGAACCGCTAAAAACGCGTCAAAAGTACCAGGGTGGCATAGAAAAAAGGAGTTTGATCCGTGTCACTCGTCAACGCCGATAGGGATGGTATGAAGGTGCCGAAGCGGTGCCACTTGACGATGCGTGATAGCTTCGTTTCGATGACCGCTGATACCCATCTCCAGAGCCACCGGTGTATTCATAGTCATCACCTATATTATTAGTTAAAGTAATTTAGAAATTTAAATCTAATTCTAATTCTAAAAAAGCAATATTGCAAGCTTTGTTAATAAAGAAAAAAGTAAAAACTCACCGCACCACACGCCAGTAGTTTCGCCTAATGTTTACCAGCCCAATTTTTGTGTATTATAATATCATACATATATATATAATATGTATTTAATATAAGAACTATTTAACTAACCTATGAAACCAAGTTCCAAATTCCAGACAATAGTACCTATTAATAAAAATAACATAAGTTATAAAATACAACCCACCATAATCGTCCCTGTTACAAACTTTTGCCTTCATTTTCTTTTTTAGATTAGTTTGTGATCCGCTCCTGGCGAATCCCCGATGTCCATTTACCTGTCGCTCTGGATATTTAGTCTGATAATTTTTTAAACATTTTCCGTCATGTGGCTAATAATCGAATTTTTTCTAACATACATAACGTGTAAGCGGTCAGGATCGGGTGAACTCTATGAAATCGCCAACGGTCAGGATCGGGTGAACTCTATGAAATCGCCAACAAAATGTGCAATTGTTATTTCGGTTTTTTTCAGTCCACTCCTTGACATAGACGTTTCCATTGTAAGAATCTATTGCAATCGCCACGCTTGGCAGTGCGGTTTGGTGATCGCCGTACAGTTTCATTGCACTTTAGACTTTTAGGCATTAACAAATTATAATGAAATTACTACCCGTGCGGTTAAAGTATGGGATTAAAAATGGCGACTACTCTTTTCACCTCTCACTCGCACAGTCACTATCTATATACTCACATTCGCCGGTGAAGACTGCAAAAAAAATACGTTGCGATATGCGTTTTTCATACGATATATAACTTCAGTCCAATTTCTTAATAATAACAAAATGCCATAAACCACAAAAAATCTGTCCAGTTCTACTAATTCGTGAGCTACGACTTTCTGAGTTTTCTTCATAATTTAATGATAATTAAAATTATTTTCGCAATTGAGAAATAAGTAACGATTTTTAAAATTTTCGTTTGCCTGTTTGTCCGAGCTAATCTTCGGAATAGCTGAAAAGGAGTCATCATCGTCATCATCATCATCATTACAGCCTTTCACAAGTCCACTGCTGAACATAGGCCTCCCCTAAAGGATGCCACAAAGCACAGTCCAGAGCCACCTGCATCCAACGACTTCCTGCATGTCCTACCAGGTCGTCACTCCTAGTGGCGGGACGCCCTTTATTTCGCCTGTCAGTACGAAGCTGCCACTCGAGAACCTTTTTTCCCATACCAGGAGTGATCTAGAATTTATAAGATAAAATAAATGGACTTTAATGTTTATCTCAAGCCTAAATAACGCCCACATTATTAGAAACCACCCAGGCAAAGCCAGAGCGGGTCGTGAGTTATAAATTTAATTTTGAATTAATGTACCTAATTGCGCGTAGATTTTTTTTTCATATATTTTCTAATTAATAGAAAATTTCCAATTAATCGAAGAATATAACGATAGATCGTTATTAGCGGGTTTTCACTATTGCTAATGTACATTGACGACACGGACAACGGACGGCAAGGATGGGCTCTATTAGTCGCCATATCTAATCCCATTCTTTATTCGTATGGGCTATATAATATTTTAAAGATCTAAATTAATTATTTTCTATGTGCCATATATTTACATAGGATATTTTTTACTTGTAATAAGCCAGTGCTACAATTCCACCTGATGGTAAGTAGATGGTAAATCGCACTGTCTTAGCGTAACAAATGCTTATTTACTCTTGCCTTGAAGATACCCAGATTGTATCCGGACGGAAAGACGGACACCGGCAAATTATTCCACTCGCTGTACGCATTACGAAAGATGAAGCAAAATGTTTCGTTCGAATGCATGGAATATCGACATTAAAACGATAAAGACATGCTGGCCGCCTGATTGTCCGACGATGGAAAGGCGACGTATGAACCAAAGCGTGTAATTCCTGCGCACACTCCGAAATTCATCCTATATTATACTGAGTGGCTGGCTACTCTGTCAGTGTTCGAGGCTGACAGTATTAGTTTCAACCAAATCAAGGTTACAAATAAACTTATAGTACGTCTCTCATGGCATTTTGCAGCACCAATGGTCAAGTAGATGTATTAAGTGATTATACAAATGTACATAGCATAACTCTATCAAAGGCGATAAGATCTATGTGACACTTCACATAAACTCATTGTGCGGGACCAAGGGAGCCTGGTAGAGAATGCCTTAGGCATTAAGTCCACCTGTATACCACGTGTGTATATGAAGTTTTAAAGAAATAAATAAGAACTGCCAGAGGCATTAAATCTTAGTCTTTAAGGATGACATGAACCTATATATAAGTCTAAGGTTACTACAATGCGGACAATACAATTAAGATGAAGTTATATATATACTTAATTAAATAATATAATAGTAAATGAATTAACGTAAATAAATGGCTATCTAGAATTACGACTTTATGAACTATGGCATAGGTACTAAGTTTCTAAGAACGTACTACCAAATTAAAAGTTAAATAAGGCATAATTAAATATACATTACGCTAATAGGTACCAAATTACTTTGTAAAGTAAGGATAAAAACCTGACGCTGAAGCCGACATGTCAGACACGTTACAGAACGACGGCTGTGGCGACACCATGCCGCAATACATCAAAGGAACCTGACGGAGTTTGAGTTATTTAATTAGCGCAACAACCCTATTTCCTACTTTGGGTATACTGCTACTGCTCTAGATTCCGAGTAACGAAAATTTTAGGACACATAATTTTACACGTGCGTGCTGTCAGTCTATGCGACTCTTACAGCTTCATCTGCCTCAGGGCTTGCGGCCTGCAAGGCCGCGAGCTAGTTAGGACACATAATTTTACACGTGCGTGCTAATTTTAAAATATAAACAAATTGATTCTACTTATTTTACATACATTTACCATAGCAATTCAAGTTATCATCAGACTGTCAACTCGCTACTTTTAGACCTTTCCTAAGCATTTATATTATGCTCTTATTCTATCAATTATATTTCATAATCCTGAGCATTATCTTAAAAATGGTACTCCTTACAATAATTATATCGTTCCTAACTTGTTTTACTTACCTAAATATTTATTTTCTATTCAATTAAAAATATTAATTTTTTAAGGCTCATGAATGCCATCATCACTACTTCTACACTGGTTCGCAAGTGTGTCTCGTGACCTAAATAATGCATTTTGATTCTTAATCGAGGATAAATGTCTATGGGTCACAGCATCCACTTATCACCAAATGGACTATATACTCGCATGTCTTATTCTATATAAAAAAGTAACGAATCGATGAATGCTGGTGGCTCTGAATTGTACCTTGTGGCAATCCATTGTAAGGTGTCAAGTACTAAGGTTCAATAGTGAACTTGTGTTTAACTTGTTATGATGATGTGCATTTATAATAAGTATATTATTCACATAATTTATTTACCTATAGGAAGAAATACTAAGTTGGTAACATCCATTGCTCATATTGTCCTCGATGTCCAGCATGACTTATTATAATTATAGTTTTTAAGACATTCCAAAACTAAATAAAGTTTATAGAAAGTGTGTCTACTGTCGTGATAGACTTAAATGTATGGAGTATAGAAGTAAGGAGTACCAACTCCCATGGTAGAACAGTTGAAAGTGTCCATCTGTAAGCAGTAAATAACAGTTCAAAAACTCTCCGCAACAGCGCTGGAGTAGCTACTGGGATGAAATGAATTTAGCTGTTGTAGACGGTTTAAGTGTGGTGTTAAACTGCTTGGTAGCTCTAAAATGTAAAATAATTTTATTTAGTAAATATATCCTCGAAAAAGTCGTCTATCCCACTAATATTTTTCGGTGCATTCTTTAAAATTTACCCCGTAGTTATAGTGGATCCACCCTTATTTAACGGTTTTTATGGACACACTTTGTAATACAGTCTGTACTCCTTACTTCTACACTCCATACTTAAATGTTTACGGTGACTTACATATTCGCTGTCTCGTGACCCTAACACCTTTTAAGGGGGTGACTTTTATTAGTAGTGCATATTAACCATTATTGTACTTCACATATAGCTTAGGAAAGGCCCAACCCGCCTGCGTCCCAACTATACCCGTTATGAGGCAATCTGTGGGGAAAACCTATGTTCAGTGGTGGAATTTTTATGAGTTATAAATACATGAATGTATAAATACGGGCTGACGAACTAACAATGATGATAATAGTTGTTAAAAAGAGACGTCGATACTCTATAAAGTCTATAGCCAGTGTACATTGTCGTGACACATATTTACAATAGCTTGCTTGACACGGATTTACATGTTTACTCTTTCATGATACAGGCTTACATGTTTACACGTCGCGTCACAGTCGTACCTTTTTTTATAGAATAAGGGTGACAAAAGAACACACAGTCCACCTGATGGTAAGTGGATGCTGTGGCCCATAGACATCTACATTTATCTTCGATTAAGAACCAAAACTCAGATGCGTTGTCACACCTGAGGACTCAGATGGAATGCCTCGTTTCCAGTAAAAAAGGGTCTCCGGTACTCTATACTCACCATACGAAGCACAGCAGTATTAAGGTGCTATTTTACGTTGGTATTCTGTGAGAGAGTGGTCCTTCCCTGGTGGCGCTAACCCATTCGTGCTACAACCATAATATAGATGCAGCGTGGCTCTACCACATAAAGCCAATCGGGGTAACTTTTGACAGTCAAATCGCAAAATACTCTTTTATTTTCTACGCGAATAACGTTTAGTGCATAACATTGAATTTGTACAATTCGTTTTTGCAGTGGTACACTTTTAAAGAGGAATTTTAATGGTGATTACCAGAGTTTAAATATAGTACTACAATTTTATGGTTTTATTGACTTGTGTGTGCACTCCACTGCATCTGAAACTTGTAAAAAAACTTAAACTAATGTTACCCTGAAGAGCTATAAAATTTTTGAAAATTATGATTCCTGC